GTCTCAAACGCAGAATAGATAGAAGCACTAGCACAAACTAAGAATATATCAGCACCAGGTCCAACAGGCATAACATATCCACTAATCAAACATGCGAATGAACGAACAAGTAAGGCTTTTAAACTACTGGCAAGCAGGTGCTTAAAAGAAGAATCAATACCAAAAAAGTAGAAATTAGGGATGCTATATCTAATACTAAAACAAGAGGACTGGAACTTTAATCTTAACAATATTAGTCTAATTCTACTACTCGAGATATTTAGAAAAACAGTAGTAAGAACCTAAACAACAGATTAGAAAGAATTCTAAAAGAAAAAGAAGTCCTCGAAGGAAAAAACCACACAAGCCTACTAGAAGAAGGCATAGCAGGACCAATACATATTATAAACAATGTTGCAGAAGATGCAAGAGAGAATAAAAAGGAGCTATAGTTGCTATTCCAAGACATGAAAAAAGCATTCAACTCGGTGAGTATAGAGATGCTCAAACTAGCACTAGAAAGAATCAAGTTATCTAGAAACACAAAGAATTTCATAATCAACCTATACGAAAATAGGGAAATAAAAATAATTACAGGGGTAGGAGTAACCCAAAAATTTATAGCTAGGGATAGAATAGATCAAGGGGAGGTTATCTCACCTTTGATATAGAAGATCTTCTACGACTTTCTTCTAGTTCAGATACAAGAAACAAAAGAAATAGGTTATAAAATGGAGGTAGCATGACCCACGAACATCAAGTTAAATAAGGTCAAAAGACAAAACATAAAGATCCCAGTACTAGCATATACAGACGACACGATGTACATAGCAAGAAGCCGTGAAGAAATGGAAAAAATCACAGATATAGCAAATGAATTCTTCAAAATTAACGATATTGAGATCAACACAAAGAAGTCAGAACTGTTAATAATCAATCCCAAAAACAAGCTCAATGCAGATAAAGGGATAAAATTTGGCCCAAGAGAAGAATTAGTTCCAAAGAAAAGTTCAGAAGAATTGACAAGATACCTGAAAATTTGGGTATCAGAAAAGGCCAAACAAAAGCATATTGAAGAGGTCATAAGGAAAAAAGTACAAATGATAACAAAAGGTCTCAAAAATAAGAAAATATCATTAGCACATATGCAATACATCAACAACAGAGTATTAATACCAAGGGTAGAATACAAGGCACAACAACACATACTATCAAGAGAAGTATGCGACAAGTTACAAAACCCACTTTTCATGTTAATCAAGAACAAAGTACGAATGACACATACAATGCCAAATGCAGCAATAGCACATCAGAATATAGTTGGTATTAAAACTATATGGCAAAACCAAATCATACATCACGTCACAGAATTGATAGCAAGGCTCAACAACAGAAATGACATAGGCAAAACAACGTAGATGAGATTAAAACAGGCTCAGCTTAATTTAAAAAGCAGAAAATATATACTAGGTCTTAGTATACAAAGACTAGAGCAGATTAATATTAGAAACAATTTGTGCTACAGAATTACAAAAGAAGCAAAAAAGCTCAAAATTGACTTTAGGTCAGCAGAATTAGAAGAAAGTCTGTAGCTATACAAAGAAAGGACCAAAATTATGAATCTACTCAAAAAGAAGCATAGACCAAGCTTCGGACAGAGAAAAACAATAAACATTTTCATACTCGAACAATTACTAGGCAGCAAGAAAGAGTCATTGCTTACCTGGAAACAAATAAAAAAGCTAAGAAGTTGCAGTACAAAAGGCAGAAAGGCAACATGGTTTCAAGAAATAGAAAAACTAGTTCTCAGAAACGGAGCGAGCAGAGAAGTTAAAGAAGAATTTAAAAGAGGCCCAGAAAACTATGACTTTATTCAGACAGAATTGAAGGACATTAGCAATAACAGAAGACAAAAAGAGTGGATAGTTTTCGGCAAAAGAAATGAGAAAGCAGAAATAGGCAGAGTTATCCACAAATACAGTCACAAAAGCTTTGGAATTGAACATTGGTATAAGTGAGACCTCCTAGAAGAGGGAAGAATAGCTGTAGAACCTTGTGAAGAATGTATAGATAGCAAACAAGCAGTTAAAAATAAACTATGCTTTTTTGTAAAGCAATTTCAAGAAACAAGAAAAGTAGTAGATAAGCACTTAATAAAAAGGATAGAGCTAATAAACAAACAAGAGCTGAGACATTGGTATTATGAGAGAACATAGTAGGCAAGACAGAAGTAGTAGCACAAAAAGAATGAGAAGCAAGAATTAGACAGCAAAGAATAACAATTAATATAAGACCCCTAAGTGAGGAAACTATCTACCAGTATATAAAAAAAACAGTAGCAATCGAGAAGCTCAAAAAGCTAGCAATAAAGGTCACAAAAATCAGGAATTTTGTAGCATACACAGATAGTTCACTAACAGAACTGAGAGAACACCCAGAGGAAACACATATAGGAATAGGGTGGATATTGTCAACAAGGGCAGAAGAAGAAAGCAACAAGACAGAAACACAGTTCAAATATGCTATGACAGGGTGGCCATCATCAACAAGAGCTGAACTTGGCACAATTCTAATGGTTCTTTTGGTGGTCCTAGAAGACGCGAACCTGCAGGTAAATACGGATAGCCAAGCAGCGATTCAAGCGATCAAAAGGTTAGAAGAAATAAACAAAGTAAGAAATTACCTCAAGATGAAGAATAGAAGCCTAATATGGCAAATAGAGAAAATAAGAAGAACCAAGAGGATCAGACTAAAGA